AGCCCTTCAATGGTCTGAGGGACAACGAACCAGCCCCTGGCTCAAAAAGTTTGAGGACCCCTGCTAAAGAGTAAAGATACATAACTGAACACTAAAGTTAGAATCATCCAATCCATTGTATTCCCCATCACTGTGTATGGATGTGAGAGCTGGACAGTGAAGAAAGTGAATAGGGAGAAAATCAATGCATTGGAGATAATGTGGTGCAAGAGAAGAGTGCTAAAGATACCATAGATGGCCAAAAAGACAAACCAATCGATCCTTGAACAGATCACGCCATAAATCTCCTTGAAAGCCAAGATCATAGAATCATAGAGTTGGAAGAGACCACAAGGGCCATCCAATCCACCCCCCCTGTGCCATGCAGGAACTCCCAATCAAAGCATCCCCGACAGATGGCCATCCAGCCTCTGCTTAAAGACCTCCAAGGAAGGAGACTCCACTACTCTCCGATTAAATTGAAGCTGTCCTTACTTCGGCCACATCGTGAGAAGACACGGCTTCTTGGAAAAGACAATCATGCTAGGAAAGGTGGAGGGATGCAGAAAGAGAGGAAGACTGCATGCTAGACGGATGGATGCTATTAAAGAGGTATGAATTTGCAGGACTTAAGCAGAGCAGTGGAGGACTGGGTCGACTCGAGAGCAGATGTGAAACATCCTCGAAGCTGAATTCAGGTCTGCGTGAGTGGCATTGGCACATTTGGAGCCCAGGGAATGTGGGAGTAGAGGGCCATTGATGTCTCTTGAAGGGGAATACCTAAGGGCTCTTTTGGAAAAAAGGCACAGTTCGGTGACGGAGAGATGCCAGCGGCATCTCTCCGTCACCGAACTGTGCCTTTTTTCCAAAAGAGCCCTTAGGTATTCCCCTTCAAGAGACATCCCTGGGCTCCAGACTTGGAGGACATCTCCCATTTGCACACCCACTCAGCCTCCTTCCAGAAGACACACAGAGACACAAGCACAGATATACACACACACACACAGAGACCACTTTGCCTGCCAGCTACAGCAGACTGGCATGGCCCTTGCAGAAATCCTGGACTGGTAGGAAGGGAAGGCAGGGGAAGAGACCTTTTCCTAGCTGGACCACAGGGACAGACAATGGGCCATTAAAAAACCCACAGACCTCGGAATGAACTCTCGCTCGCTCACTTGCACGCACAAAACACACACATGCATGAGCGATGATGGCAAGAGCCCGCTCCTCTTCCCGGGGAGAAATGGTACTATTCCTACCCAACCCAACTCAGGAAACAAACCAAGAGACAAAGCTATGACTTGAGATATCCAAGATGTGAGAGCACCAGCTTGCAAACCCATTTTCTGAAAGACGTAACTCAGCCGTATCCATGTTCACCCACAACCTCTCCATCATACCGCTTGTGCAAATGCTCGTGCAAAGCTCTTGCATCTAGTAATGTCCTTGCCAGCATAATTATTCTGTACTATACACACCCACACAGAAATTTTACTTTTTCGTAGATTAGAATCAATATATGTAACTGCTGGTAATACTTGGAATTATCTGGATTCTGCATACCTTGGTTCGAATCTGGCCATTACTCCCATGTTTGCTGCTGTTGCTGTTGTTGCTGTTGTTGTTCAGTCATTTCTGACTTACGGTGCCCTTAAGTTGTTGTTGTTGTGTGCCTTCAAGTCATTTCGACTTACGGTGGCCATAAGATGAACCTATCATGGGGTTTTCGTGGCATGTTTCTCCAGAGGGTTTGCCAATGCCATCCTCTGAGGCTGAGAGAGTGTGACTTAGAATCATAGAATCCTAGAGTTGGAAGAGACCCCAAGGGCCATCCAGTCCAACCCCATTCTGCCATGCAGGAACTCAAAATCAAAGCATCCCTGACAGATGGCCATCCAGCCTCTTTTTAACGATTGACCAAGGTAAGCCAGTGGCTTTACATGGCTGAGCCAGGATTTGAAACGTGGTCTCCAAAGTCACAGTCCAACAGGCAAACTATTGCACCATCATGGGGTTTTCTTGGCAAGATTTGTTCAGAGGAGGTTTGCTATTGCCTTCTCCTGAAGTCGAGAGTATGTGACTTGCCCAAGGTCACCCAGTGGGTCTCATAGCTAAGCCGGGTATCGAACCCTGGTCTCCAGAGTCATAGTCCAACACTCAAACCATTACGCCACGCTGTCTCTCAGGGAGACTTCATTGAACCATGGGATTTACTTGTCAGCCCATCATTCACCAATTGATACTATAGATCTGTTCTAATAGCAACAGAAAGGTTTCTGGCCGCCCTCTTTGTGCATTTGGTCTTATCGGTATAATATGGATGGGCAGAAATTAGTATTTTACATAGCAAAGAGATGAACATGGGAACCCATTTGAACACATTTTGGAATCACCTTCTCAATGACCAGGAATTGGTGTGCCTTCTGTGCATTTTCTATTTTTATTCGATAGATTTTCCACTTCTCTTCCACCCCCTCATTTAGCTTACCACCCATCAAGGCGAGCAAAACAATATATAATAATATATTATTATATAATAATATATTATATATAATATAATATATAATAATAATATATTATTATATAATAATAAAATACTCAAACACAACTAAAACTAAACCTGGAAGTTTAGTACAGTGACTCATAAAACCGAAATACAGGTTGAGTCTCCCTTATCTGAAACGTTTGGGACCAGAAGTGCTTTGGTTTTCCATTTTTGGGGGGCGGATTTCGGAATTTGCATATATGTACATAATGAGATACCTTGGAGATGAGACCTGAGTCTACACACAAAATTCATTTATGTTTCATATCCACCTTATATGCATTGCCCGAAGTTAAATTTATACATAATATTTTTAATAATTTTTTTGCACGACACAAAGTTTGTGTACGCTGAACCATCAGAAAGAAAAGGTGTCACTATCTCAGCCACCCACGAAAAAAAGTTTTGGTTTTGGATTTTGGGATTCTGGATAAGAGATACTCAATGGATAATGTCAGAGTCATTATATGGGTTAAGCAGGGATCCTAATCCAGTTTAGAGATTACCGGGGTGTGAAAAAGAATTAATTCTGCTGTGTTTATAATGCAGCATATGGGAAGAAGCCGGTTTCATCTGCAAGAGGAATGATTACAGTCTGAGTGTCCCTTATCCAGAATCCCAAAATCCAAAATATTCCAAAAATCAAAACTTTTTTCATGGGTACCCGGAATAAACTCTGTGACATAAACCACCAACTCTGCATTTCTATAAGTGGGTTTTCTGAACCATTAAACACGCTTCTTTTTTAATGTGAGAAGGACTTTTGGTTCAGTTCCCCATTTCTCTCTTCAACCCACCTTGAATCCCATTGTGGGAGAAAGGTAGGATATAATAAATCCTTGAAATACATTTTTAAAAATCAGAAAAAAGTGGAAAGTGGCTTTAAAGAGCCAGCACGTGACACCAGTTCTCTTCTCATGGAAGGAAAGCCAGTTTTGAAGAGAGCCATATGGGGCTACAGCAAAGGATGTGGCTTAAATACTCTAAAGGCAGCAGATCTTATCTGATTTTGGAAGCTAAGCAGGGTCAACCTTGGTTAGTCCTTGGATGGGAGGCCGCCAACAAATCCCAGGTGCTGGGGGCAATATGTCAGAGGAAAGAACGGGCAAAACCATATCTGAGGATTCCTTGCTTAAGAAAACCCTAGGAAATGAATGGCTGGGAACACTGAGCCGCCTTGTATCCCAAGCCAATGGATCAAATGCAGAACTGCAGCAAAAAAATCTATTTCCCATCATTGACGTAGCCTGGCCTGGCATATCTGTAAGCCACCTTGGGTCCCAAACCTGGGGAAAAGGCAGTTGAAAACAGTAAAAATAATAAATATCTGCCCTTTGGAGGGTCCATCTCCTTCAGTGCTGCCAACTCTGACTGGCAGAAGGAGCCTTGCCGGATTTCGGGGTTCTTTCCTAACTCTGACTGTAGACCAAGTCTATGAAAGTTGATGCTACAACTTCTTTTGCACAGTTAGTCGCAAAGGTGATGCAAGATCCCTTTGCATATTACCCTTCGACTGAATAAGAGCATCCTACCCAATATTGCCAACTCTGACTGGCATCCATGGCTCTCCAAGAAAGATTTCAGGGAGGATTCTTTTCTGGAAGGATGAGCGGAGAAATCTCAGGGATCTCCAAGTCATTTTTTATTATTGTGCCTGAAACCCTGGCATGACATAGCTGCCAGTCAGAGTTGGCAAGCCTGGACCTTCCTAAAACCTTGGAGAAATTGGGCAAGGTGGACCTGGCGTTGCCAGCAAGGATTATTCAACTTGCATGGCCACATCGGAGGCTGCTTTGGACTGAAATTCAGTGTATCCTACCCAAGATTGCCCACTCTGAGTGTCAAAGGGTGTGCATCTTCGCTGCAGAAATAAGGCAGTTTGGGACCACTTTAAGTGCTGCAGCTCCATCTTATGGAATCCTGGGATGTGTAGCTTTACAAGGACTTTAGCCTTGGAGCCTCACCAAACTACAAATCCCAGGATTCCAAAGGACGGAGCCACGGCTATTAAAGTAGTGCCAAACTGCATTGCTTCTACAGCGTAGAAGCACCCCAGGGTTGCACCTCCATTGCAGAAATAATGCAGTTTGACATCATTTGGGCCCCATGCCATGGGATTCTAGGATTTGTAGTTTTACAAGGTCTATCAGCCTTCCCTGACAAAGAGTGCTGGTGGTGCCTCCCAAAACTACAAAACCCAAGATTCTGGAGGATGGTCATGGCATCCTACAGTGGTATCAAAATGCATTATTTCTAGCGTCTAGAAGACGCACCCTGGAGCTGAATTTGTACTGCAGAAACCATACACTTTGACTACAGTTTAACTGCAGTGCTATGGGAATCCTGGGATTTGCAGTTTTGGGTGGCACCAGAGCTCTCTATCCAGAGAAGGCTAAGCACCCCACCAAACTACAAATCCCAGGAATCCACAGCATGGAGCCAGGGCATTTTTATTTCTCTTGCACAGTACATAAAAATCAATGATTGTATATATATATATATGTATATATAACTGTTATACATCTTAATACATATCTATATATAAGAGAGATAGAGATAGAGATAGAGATAGAGATAGAGATAGAGATAGAGATAGAGATAGATACACATATAGATATGGTCTTGAGGAAAAATAACTCCAAACAAAGGTAATATATATTCCTTTGTCTGATCCATCCTTCCCAAGATCAGTTCTCCTGACTGTTGACCTCTCTAACCTAGTTGCCTTTTCTCTGACCCTCCTTAATCTCTTGCCATTTAATAATAATAATAATAATAATAATAATAATAATAATAATAATAATAATAATAATTTGTATCCCGCCCTGTCGCTCTTTTCCCAGCCAGGGCAGTTAGTTAAAGCGATGCCAAACCGTATTATCCCTGCAGTGCAGAGGCAGCCTAGTAGCCCCTGCCTCGCTTCCAAAGCAGGGCTGGTGCAAGGCTGGCATGGATGGCAAGCTTGGGTGGTCTCCTCCCAAACCGATGCCAAGCCCCGAAAGGGTCCAGGGATCCCATGCCCATGCCCACGCCCTGCATCCCCCATCCCCAAAAAGGATGCCCACCATCCCAGGGATAAGAGGGGCCACCTTACCCTGGGGCTGCCCCTGCTGCTGGTGCCATCCAGATGTTTGGGGAGCCCCCCCTCGCCTTCCTCTTCCTCCTGGCTGGCATCCTTCTTGAAGAGGGCATAGAAGATGTAGACCAGCAGGGAATAGAAGGCGTACATGGAGGGAGGGCAGCGATGCCAGTCTGCTGCAGGCACGGGGCCACCTCCCGGCTCCGCATCCTCTGCGCCTGCGCGGGGAAGAAGACTCCCTGCCCCCCCCCCTTTCTTGGCAGGGCTCCCGAGGGAGGGGG